CATGTAAATTTTGACATGCTTGACATTTTTCAATTATAAATGAAAGTCGATTTGCATAATGAAAAATAGAGATAATGAAGAAAAATCACACGAGACTGTCTAAGGCCAAGCAAAACACGAGATTACCCGATAGTCACCTGTTACTTTAACCAATCAAAATCGTAAAATTTGACTAATCCCGGATCAGTCCGAAAATCAAAACAAATCAATTATCTCAAAAATGAAGTATATGTAAAAATGGGCCCTTTTAATACGGAACACTCCATATATCTACCTATATTAAGATCTGACATTGTAACAAAACCTACAAATATCAAAGAATTTTCACTTTAACGCATGCAGATCTTATTTATTTATTTATTTTCTGTTATACTTTAACCCCTGCTAAACAAGTTTATATACTAAATAGATATAACGATATGATCATACTGTAGTTCAGCAAATTCACAAATTATATCTTATTCTAGAATATAATAATATTTAAAACTATTTTAATAGCATATCCTCAGAATAAGTGAATACCTTATATTGCATCCTTTTTAACCACAATTTCTTTCTAAACTATTTAGAAAAAAAACTTTGATGACCATTACTTTGCTTTAAAAAAAGCATTTGTTCAAGCATCTTTGAGTCTAATCATGTATATCAAGGTGTTATTTGTTGCCAGCATCTGAAAAGTGCTTTCAGATAGGACTGATGTTGTGGGTATGCACAAATATTTTTGTGCTAACAAGGATAAGGCCATGCAAAGTTAATTTTTCATTTTGCATTACATAGATGCAAAATTCCCAGTTGGTCGGTTGGATTTTTTTTTTTAATTTACAGTGAATTAATGGGCTCATATTCACATCTATGGTCGTAAAAGGTTATTTTTCACTTTTTATAATATGGAATCAGAAAATTGGGTTGGCAGTTGAATTTTTTTTCTGTCAGTTCTATCAGATACTTTTGGGAAATAAGGTCACTGTCAGGTAATACCAGATTAATTTTTGAAAAAAATTTAAATGGCATAAATAGAATAATTGGTACAATTGAAGCTTAAAAAAAAAAAATCAAAAATTTGAAAAAAATAGGTCTGCAGGTAATGCAAAACAAAAAAATCAACTTTGCATGGCCTAATATTAGAAATTCATTCTTGTGGTCATTTCACTATAGCCAAGGGTTAATTAAGCATTGTAATCAATAGAAGAGTTATTATGATAATTCAAATACTGTGCTATTTTATATAAAAGTTGGATCTCTTGTATACCAAAATACTTTCAAAAAATGGATTTTGTATTAGATTAGTAGCTACAGTATCATTAATATTTTTTGTACTGGTTTATTACTGTTAGCAATATTGTATTGTTGTAAAATCTCAAATTTAGATCTTAATTTTGTTCTAGCCTTCTTTAATTATAATAATATCATATTTGCAGTTACAAATATTAAAAAGTTTTAAACATTTATAAGTATAAAAAATATATATTTAACAAGAGAAATATTGATACAGTCTTCCTCCTCTATAATTACGCAGTTTGTATCAAGAAAATTGGTGATTATAAAAGAGTATGATTATATAAAAGTTTTTTTTTATAAGTTTATTAATAAATTTTTGCAAAAATCAATATAATTGTGATTATATAGGAGGTGATTATAGAGGAGGAAGACACTATTACACAACTAATTCTTTACCTGATATATAATATATAAAAAAATTATTTTATAATATCACTAGTATAGTGTTGGATTATAATTATAGAAAAAGTTAAAGATCATGCACGTGATAGTATCATGGGTATATAGTAATACAAAAATTAATGTTTGACTATTCTCTTTTATCTTTTACCTTTAAGTCAGGGTTAGTTTTAAGGTCAGAATTGACGATGAAGTATTTAAAGCACAAACTGCATGCGTAGCATTTTTTTTCAAGTACTTTACTTTTAACATTCATTTTACAAGAAATATTCTCTCTTTTTTTTCCTTTTTCTAAAGAATCGTGTGATTAAAAAAATAAGGTTCAGAAGGCAAGACTTTTTATAACATAAAAGCCGTCGTTAGTACATTCTGTTTTTAGTCTCTTTTTTTTTCGCAAGCTTTTTTTCTTTCTTTCTTCTTTTTTTTTTTTTTTTTTTTTAATGTTGCAAAAACCTTTTATCAGAATCGATAACGTTTTGACATCTGATGGTTATTTAAACCATCATGAACCAGAAGAAACATTTGACTTGACAGTAAATGAAGAACACTCACCTGACGACAATACTTTGGAAAACATCTCTGATAATACTAGTAGTGATCACCAATTAAGAGATTTAGCTCCATCTAATGTTATTTATTGTGGAAAAACTTTTGAAACTTGGGAAGAATGTCAAGAAGCATTAGATAATTATGCACGTAATAATAATTTTATAATCAGGAAAAAACGGGTAGATAATAGTGCTGATTCACATCAATGTACATGAGATTGTAAAAGATCTGGTAAATATGTTTCACTAAAATGGCCACATCTGAAAAGCAAAGAAACAAGGGATTGAAGAAGATTGGTTGCCCTTTTCTTGTGAATGCATCAAAAAGCAAAAGTTCTAATGGTGAAACTGCGATTAAATTGACATTAGTGAATCTGATTCATAACCATCAATTGGTTCCTAAAAATGCTAATTTTGCAACCAAATACCGGAAGCTTACTGTAGAAATGAAAGATCTTATCGAAAGCTATACACTTTGTAATCTTGATATTTCATCTCAGATTCGGCACTTCATGGAATGTTTTCTGAAGCAATGGTTGTAGATTATAATGTTAAGAACTATGTATATAAATTTTGCAGTAATTATGAAATACAAGATGTTGATGCTGCAAAGCTTCTCCAGCATCTTGAAATAGAACGTGTCAAGAACTCTGATTGGTATGTTCAACCATTAATTGATACTGAAACGAATAGATTGCAAGGTGTATTTTATATGACACCCAAACAGCGAGAACTCTGGAGACACTATGTGGATATTATTTTAAATGATAACACAACAGCAACTAATACTTACAATCTGCCATTAAGTATCTTCGCTGTTGTTGACAATAATTTTAGATCAAGAATTGTTGTGCAAGCTGTAATCTTGGAATTCTGCATTGACTGAATTACCAGTACAAACTGCAGCAAAAGCAATTGGTCGTAAGCAATCTATTAAGAGGACATTACTTGGTCTTGCACATAAATATGTCGAAACAGTTAATTATAATGATTTAAATGATTATAATCATTTGATAAAAATATTTAAAGAACAGATACAAATACACGAAGAAAGAAATCAGCCTCATACAATTATTATGTATAATCGTGCTGCAGAATATAATCAAGTAGATAAACAGAATATAGAGCAAGATCATATTATGGAAGATGATGAAGTTTCAGAATATGATCAAATTATGGAAGATGATTATGATTCGAAAATTATGAGAGATGAAGTTGTAGAACGTGATCAAATTACAGAATATGATCAAAATTTAGAACACAATCAAATCTTTGAAATTGCATTATTAGATATTCAAGATCCATTTCATCATATTGAAAAAGGCCATCCTTCAAAAAGGCGAATAAAGACAGCAATTGAAAAAACAAAAAAAAACCAAAAAAATGAAAAAAAGCAAAAATTTGCCATTACCATCTTCTGTATCTGATAATAATGCTTTACGCTGTGCTCCCATCATTGTAGTGTTTGCAAAAGTAAAGAGTATGACAAGCGAAATTGCCCTACCAAACAATCAGTATGACTAGTTAGAATTGGGACTAAAAATAAATCTTTTCTAAGATTAGGTAGAGTTAGAGTGAATAATTGAAAAAGTAATTTTTTTTTTTTAGCTTTAGTAAAAAATATTTCTGAAGCGGAGGCGGCAGCCATAGTAAAAGCAACAACTATCCTTTGCGAAGCAAAGGATAACAGATAATTAGGCCTAAATATAGCTTTTGCTACTATATAACCTTCATTATAAATAATATCTTATAATAATTTTAATAAATAAATTATTAATAATATATAAGCTATTATCACATATGTGATGAATAACTTTGCTCATAATTATAACAGATATAAGCAAAATGATCTGATATTGTAAAATGATTTTTTTTATATGCTGCACACAGGGTAAAAGATTAGTCATATAATATTAATAGTTACTCCTATTTATTTATTTATATTTTCTTTAAAACATTTGTTGATAACAACATCTAAGGGTTGAAGTTTACTTGTTAAACCACTTAGATTTATGTCTATATGGTTTTTTTTTTATTTAAAATTTTCTCTAACAGAATCCACTATATGACCTTTGTATGAATCTAAGATCAATAAAGAAGTTGAATTTTTTATATTATTACATTGAGTCCAAACTATATTAATTCAATAATTTATTTCATTTTTATTACACCATCCACTCTTATTGGCTCTAATAATAATGCTACAAGGAAAGTTTGACGAGAAACATTTTGTAGCTTAAAAATACAGGTGAAAGAAAGTTTGTTTCATCAGCAAGGCATCCAAGAATTACAGTAAAACAGATTTTTTCATGCTTTGTTGTTTAAATACTAATTGTTTTAGCACCACATTTCTTAAGAGTCATTGAGTTAGATAAATTGAATGCTAATAATATTTCATTTATGTTTCTAATATATTTTAAAGAAAACTTGTATTGATAATATTTAAATATAATGAAACTCAAAAATTCATTTTGCTTTTCAATAAAATCTTTAAGAAGATGTTGTAATTAGTTGTGTATAACAGTTTGAAAGATTGTAACAATCTATATAACCACTGTTTAGAAAATTTGAAATTAAAAATATTTAGGTAAACAGTTTTAATTTCTTTCTCTTGAGATAACAACTTTGCTTTATAAATTATCATATTTTGTATTACTGTATTTGTCTATAATGTAATTCTATAACCCAATTAAAAAGTTTTTCTTTAATAATTGGATATTGTGCTGAACGACTAGAATGAAGTGATAATGTATGAGATGAAGCATTTAAAAGTTCTTGTTTTTTTTTGTACCAGTCTTGAACTTGTTATAGTTCAATGTCAAACTCTCTAGCTGTTCTTTGCACATTTTTACTATTTTTAAAATAATAAATATTTATAAGCTTTCACAAACACACCAACTTTGGCAAACTTTTTTAGTGATATGAGCTTGTCTCATGCTATTTTTGTTTAAAACTATTACAAGTTACTTAAAAAAATTTTTTCTCTTTTATATATGTGCCATATACTAATTATTAATACAATATGATATCATTATAGTATAATCATTTTTGTCATATGCTGATTATTTAATAAATTTAAGTATGTAAGTACATATGTTTTATTTTTATAATTATACTCCTACCAATACAATATACTCCTCCTATTTCAGTATTCTAGGTACAGAACTTGTCAATGTAAATACTCAGATACAAGAGTTAGCAGCTTACAGTAAAATTTAAAAAAAAACTTAAAAGATAGAAGTATAACTATAAATAAAAGTGGCATATAAGTATTAAAAGTAATACTTTCTTTACTAGAATTTAAATAATTTGATTTTTTTCCTCTTATATATGTATATATATTATATATATAAAATAGTAGAAGTAAAATTTTCTTTTTAAAGTTCAGAAAAGTATTAGGTGAATCTAGAGGTTTCGCTACAAACAAAAAGCAAAAACTAGTTTTAACTTTTACTAAAAAAAATTAAAATGTAACTGGCAAAACTAATAAAAGGTAGTGAAACTTGTATATGATAAATCTAGTAAAAGAAGTATGAATAAAACATAATTAAAAAAAGTTAAACCACTTTCATATAATTATTTGATATTATGTATTATTTATGTTATCAATTTACCAACCTCTTGTTTTATTAATAATCAATTTACCAACCAGTTTATTTTACTAACAATTATTTTACTAATAACTTATTTTATTAATATGTTTTTTTAAACTTGATATAATGGCAATAACCAGAATTATCAATAAAATAAACTATTGGTAACCAAATTTTGATTTCGAAATGGATATAAGGTGCTCTCAAGCATCTCTCTCAGTATAATTAGCTAACTATAAAGATCATGCACAAGTACTATGATTAATTGAAGTAAACCTTATAGTAATTTTGTCAAAAATTCACATTTTGAAACATGGATATTAAATTTTAGCCAATTAGCACAAATCTATGATAAAAAAAAATGGACTCTAATCATCATTTTTTTCATCGTTAAAATGAACTCGTTTGACCGAATAATTTATTTTTCACTAATTAAAGATTGAACTCAGACCTATTGATTTAGATGCTTGAGAGCACCCATAATCACTACTTCTAGCATAGGCACTTACCCTAGTTTTAACTTAATACATAATATGCATAATTATGCTGTCATATACAATGTTTTCAATCAATTATTATGGGTCAATAATATAGCAAAGCTAGCCCTGAGACTTAGGGTTAAATAAAATAGAGAATCGGAAATAATTGTCAGTACTAATAATGTTAACGAATAACTTAAATACAGTATGTACAGTACTTAAAGAAAGTGTTAAAGAGAAAAAACAATATAATAATAAAATTTATTTAAATATTTAGATAGATGTATTTTACATGGCTGTGTTAATTTAATTATAAGTTCAAAGGCCTGAAGTCTAATTTTCTTTTAATACTATTTGGATACAAACAAAAAGCAGTCACTTTGTTTTTGTACATTTTTTATATAAGCCATATGCTATGCTTATTAGCCACGCGCAAAATATTTTGATACACTAACATGGCTCAGTCTTTTCAAAGTCTTAGAGGATTTGATCTTTGACTTTCTCCAGGGGGTTTCACCAGAGTTTTGCCGTTTCGCCAGAGTTTCGCCAGTTTCGTCTTTCGCCGGGTTTAGTTCGTTTTTCGCCATTTGCCAAAAATAGTTACGCCTGACAACTTATTGTCGATCTCTGCATGAAACGACACAACATTCTTAAATTAGCAGTAATGTAGTTCCTTATATTGAATTTACCCCCATAAATAGCAAAGATGGTCAAGCCAAAAAATTATAGAGGATTATAATAAATAAAAGGATGAATGATGCTTAAAACTTGTTCGATATTATGCATAATAGTTGGGGCAAAATCCCGTTTAAAGGTTGAATTGATGATCGTTTTTTTGTTATATAAGCTTACATATCGATTTGAAAATAGTAAAATATTTTTTTCGCAATTCACTCGATGTAACTATTTTGCCATAATTATCGATATTTTTTCCCCTTAATCTATCATTACTATTGCATTACAGCCTATTATTAATTAATTGCATCGTTAAATCGATCAAATTAATTTTTCTTACGTATTAATTATATAAATATGATCTAACCTACACCCCTGACCTCGATTAAATTATCATATATCACGTGGACAAGTCACCCTTATGGCTGATAAAGTAAGCCAAAAATTTTAAAGTACCATATATCTATATAAAATAGTATACAACTAGTATAATCGACTCGGAATTTATATGTATATTATACGCTTTTCTTAAAAAAATATATACATATATGTATACTATACGCTTTTCTTTTTTTATCAGCCTGTGTCTTTTATGCTATTAACCTTACGATTATAAACAACACTTGATCTGGACTCTTATATGTAATATTTTTTAAAAATTAGACCCTTGTACGTAATTATTTTTAATGTGGACCCGTATTTTCACTTTCCGGCCCTTATTTGTAAATCCCCTTAATTTTTTTTTATACATTTGATTAATCAATTAATCGCATAAAATTATAAATAAATATGATTAAGTGAATAATTTAATGATTAATAATCATTTATAGAAGTGTTTGTTAATTTAATCACATAATTATTTTTTTTATACATTGACGGTTAAATGATTAACGGTTTCAAACTCTAAATTTTTTATATGATGAGATGACAGGGACTCGTATTACTAATTGCTTTTGTAAATTTTCTGTCTTACTTTACATTTTTAATTTTCGGAGAATAATAAAGCCGGATATCACGCCTCCTTAATTTGTTATCACCCGAAAAATAACAAATAAGAAAAATCAATATGATAAAATTTGTGATTAATAGCATTAATACCATATAAATCCTCGTTATGCGATCATAATGAGATGGAGAATAAATAGCACTTATTACATTCTATTACTTATTACATATAAAACACATAATAACAGTTGGAAGTGAGTGATCAAAACTAAGACTGAACAAAAATTACTGCTAAAAATAGATTGATCGCAGATTACGTACATACATACGTACTTATTATCTATTATTACAGTATTACCTAGTGCAAAAAATCTTAGATAAGATTAAGTACTATTAGTAATAATAATAACCTGATCCGTTGGGAATTAGCGGAAGCGAAGTTTCCGCTCATTCACATACGGTCAGGGTATTATTTCATAAGAAGACTTTCGTATGATTGGCTGTTTAAATCAATTTAATTTACATTATTTATACAGTTTAAAGTACTTTTAAAAAAAAAATAAACCTACGAAAAATAAACAAAAAAGAAATATAGAAAGTTTTATTAGGGTCGTAGGACTCCAGTATTAAAAATAATCAAAATCATTTCTGGTTTTAGAGAAGTTAGAATAATAGCGACTTCTTAAAGATAGATAGATTTAGGTTATTACCATGCTAACTTCTCTAAAACCAGAAATGGTTTTGATTATTTTTAATACTAGAGTCCTACGACCCTAATAAAACTTTCTTATACTTATTCTTCGTAGTTTGATTTTTTAAAAAAATACT